GTCTACAGTTTAAAGGGGTAGCCTCTCAAGCTACACAACCTCCACTTCCATGGCTTAAACACCATTGTGACCTTCCCTCTTTTCTCTTTTTAATTCCTTTGTTCATGTTTTTATTTGCAGTTTGTTCTTTTGTTTCCTCCTCTGTAAACTTTTTATCTTTTTTATTTTAATATGAAAGCCAGTTAAAAAAAAAAAAAAAGAAAACTAAATTAAATGGAAGTGAGATCAAGAAGAAACAAATAACCCACTGGTTCGGACGGGACAGTTCCTCTACCTCCGATATTTACGTGTTATATATGCATATTGGTTCAAATAAAATATACTATAGTACTTCAATCAATTTAAGTTTTAAGCAACGAGTGTGTTACAGTATATTACCAATATTAACTCCTAAGCGATTTTTATTGTTCGGTATCTTTGTAAGTGCAAAGATGACACCACAATAAGTTAGTATAGAAGGTAAACCAAGAGACAAAACACCAATATCTTTATTCAAATCTTCTTTAAACAATCTTTACAAGACCTTGTTTATTCAGCTTTACACGTCTAGTGTTAACATCCTAACACACGTCACTGAAAGATTCCTAATCTACTCACTTATGTCTCTCTGCCGTCAAGTACTTCAGCCTCTGCTTCAGCACGACCCAAGAACACCTTAAGAGCTTCTCCCTCTCTATAAGATTAGCCTCCGTGTCTCTGACTCTCTGCAGACGACCCCATAACTCTCTTATAGTTATTTTTCACGTTCCTGAAACCCTAGTCTCCAAGGAACACAATATGGACATTTTCCATAACATTAAGTGCAACTTTCCTTTTCTTGAAATGCACTTATTCATCTTTCTTTAAGTCATAAACTTGCTCCTCAAGTTTATTCATCTTGCCTTTTCTCCAAGATACACCCTTGCTCTCCAAGTCTACACGACTCCAGCTCAACATCTTGACTCCACATGGTTTTCACCACTCAACACGACGTCTGCTTCAGCAACTACGTCAGCGACTACTTCAAGGCATACATCTTACATCTTCAATCTCCCCTTTTTAGCTTTGTGTGCCAATCAAGCACAACATCCTTCTGGTTCAACAACCACGTTCCTCACTTGGAACCTTCCATACCAAAAGTGCTTTTCTCCTCCACGAGATGTGACACACACCATGCTTTTCTCCCCCATGAGATAAGCATCATCTACTTCAGGACGTCCATCACCATGCTTTCTCCCCCATGAGATGTGCACTCCTTGGACCAGAACGTCACCACTTCTCCCCCTGCTTGATTGCATACTAAGCTAAAACACAGATGCTTAGATGTCAAGCCTTCCATCATAGTAATCATGATACAGCCCCTGCTGCAGCGGAATAGATTACAAGTACTGCATCACGATCTGACGCACCTGTCGAACTACCTTTCGACCCACTTCTGTTGAGGACTTGGCTTCCTTCATGCGTCGTCTCCTTGACCATGAGCCCCCCCCTCATCCACCCCGAGTGCTCTCTGCACTCGTTGCTATTGTCTTGGAGTGATTTCGCTATCACCCTCCTGAAGATCATCTCGCATCACTTCCTGACGCACTTTGATCTCTTTCCCTTTTGAACCACAAACAACTCCGTGTCCTGGCTCCACACTTGATGCTTCTTGATCAACCTCAAGATCACTCTCACTAGAGCTGCATCCTTCTTCTGATGTCCCTTCCTTGACCTCATCAAGTAAGCCACTCTTGGCTAAGAACACCTCTTCAACCCCCTTGGGCTTAGTGAACGTCTGGTTCACCTTCTTGGCCATGTTTCTGCTTTTCTCACGAGCAAAACACTCCACCTTCTTGTGTCCAACCTTCCCACAGAACCAACAGCACATCCGATGTTGCTTCTTCTTGGGCCTGACACAGTTGCTGATGCACCGATCAGCCTCCTTCCTTGTACCAGATGCACAACCATGCTTCAGAACCTCCTGTCTGGCCTTCATGTTGCTGCACTGATGTACTCCTTTCGGCTTGTTATTCACAGACAAGCGCTGTAGAACTTCCTGCCGTACTCCTTGTCGTACGTCCCGACGTACTTCCTGACGAACATCTTTGGCTTCACTTTTTGAAGTGCTCCCTTGCACGAACTGTGACCGCCCCTTCTGATGTACGCTAGTACTCTCACCTCCTCGGAATCCCAGTCCCCGATTTGCCTTGGCTGGTTGTCCCATTGAGAGTATCTTATCCAACTCCTTGGATCCACTATTGAGCATTCTGATCTGTTTGTGATTCTCAGCCAAATCACGTTCCAGCTTCCTTGCTCTCTCTTGTTCACCAGTAGCAACTCTTCTCAATTTGCTAACTTCCTCTTCAAGAGACTCATTCTTCTCTTCTACAGCCGCAAGTTCTTCACGAAGTTCTTCAAGCAACTCGTTTTGCTTCTGAGCCACACTCTCCAATCTCAGATTCTGATCCTTGACCCTCACCCACTTGTTGAGCAGCACATGATACTCCTCATCATCTGTACTGCGATCTGAATCAGTGAACTCACTAGATCCCTTCTTGCGTGCACCAAATGCAACCATGTTCTTCAACACCTTGTCATCTTCTTCAGACTCTGAATCATCAGACGACTGAGCTCCTTTTCCCTTCTTTGAGTTTGGACATTCGCGCCTTGTGTGTCCAACACCTCTGCACTCAGAACACTTAAGTTCCTTTCGTTGTGCCATAGGACAGTCAGCCCTCACATGACCAACTCCTTCACACTCGTAGCACTTGATAAAGTCTCTTCTTCTACCATTGCCACGATCACCTCCTTGACGATCATACTGATTTCTGCCACCAGAATGAATCTTCTTACCAAAATTCCTAGCCAACATACCCACAGTATCTTCAAGCTTCTGGAATCTATCACCATTTTTGTCAGCTGCAAGCGCTATACTCCCTGGCGCATTGCTTGACATAGAGACTGAACTATTGTCTGTCTCCATCTCTTGTGTCTTCAGCATACCCACAAGCTTATCAAACTTGAGCTCATCCGTGTTTGTAGTCATCTGCAAGACTGTCTTGTGAGCTTCAAACTTCTTTGGAAGACAACGTAGTAACTTCTTTACCAGCTTCTTCTCCTTGTACTTCTTCCCAAGTACAAATGCTTCATGCGCCATAGCACTAAGTTTGGCACTAAAGCTCGTCACAGAATCATCATCAGACCATCTGAGATTCTCAAATTGTGACCCAAGATGATCTAGACATGTCCTCTTGACACTCTCATCTCCCTCAAACGAATTCAGCAGGATCTCCGACGCCTCTTTAGCTGAAGTACTCCCCTGAATCAACTGGAACTGCTCTGCTTCAACGGCTCCAAAAATTACTGACAACGCCTTTGCATTAAATTTTGATGCATTGCGCTCTGCCTCTGACCAATCCTCTTTTGGCTTAGGCTTCTTCTCATCTCCTGTGACTATGGTAGGCTCCTCCCAACCAATCTCCACAGCTGTCCACGCATCTTCATTGATTCCTCGAATCATCTGCTTTATGCGGGGCTTCCAATGACCATACTGGTCCGCATGCAACATGATTGCCTTCTGCATCGTAACAATCGTGTCCATCTTCACCGTCAGGATTACACCGGTAACTTAGGTGCCCCGCTCTGATACCACTTGTAAGTGCAAAGATGACATCACAATAAGGTAGTACAGAAGGTAAACCAAGAGACAAAACACCAATAGCTTTATTCAAATCTTCTTTAAACAATCTTTACAAGACCTTGTTTATTCAGCTTTACACGTCTAGTGTTAACACCCTAACACACGTCACTGAAAGATTCCTAAGCTACTCACTTATGTCTCTCTGCCGTCAAGTACTTCAGCCTCTGCTTCAGCATGACCCAAGAACACCTTAAGAGCTTCTCTCTCTCTATAAGATTAGCCTCCATGTCTCTGACTCTCTGCAGACGACCCCATAACTCTCTTATAGTTATTTTTCACGTTCCTGAAACCCTAGTCTCCAAGGAACACAATATGGACATTTTCCATAACATTAAGTGCAACTTTCCTTTTATTGAAATGCACTTATTCCTCTTTCTTTAAGTCATAAACTTGCTCCTCAAGTTTATTCCTCTTGCCTTTTTTCCAAGATACACCATTGCTCTCCAAGTCTACACGACTTCAGCTCAGCATCTTGACTCCACATGGTTTTCACCACTCAACACGACGTCTGCTTCAGCAACTACGTCAGCGACTACTTCAGGGCATACATCTTACATCTTCAATCTTATGGTCGAGGTATAAGAAAACATGTTTGAAAAACTAAGAAGTTTCAGGTTTGATCTAATTACTACGCGAACTAAATCACATTACTCATAATATGGATATGAATTTTTGCTTTGACCCATTTGAATATCCGCAAAATTTTTTGGTTATATTCAACGTTAAAAGTAATACACTGATCCTATTAAACAAAATAAAGCGGGGTCCGTCACTGATTTTAACCGGAAATAACAAAAAAAAGAAAGTTGATCGAAGAAATACACAACACCAAACCTCATGCGGTCATGTTAGCAAGCCCAGTAATGGGCCATGTCATCCTGGTGATCAAACTCGAAAAATGCTTAGCTGAATCCTACAACTTCCATGTCACCATTTTCATCCTTGAAGCCGACGCAGCTTCCGCTCAAACTTATTTCCTCAACTCACCGGGGAATGATGTAACCCTTGTTGCATCCCCTCTCTGGACATCTCCAATTTAGTGGACCCATCAGCCCATATTGGGCTCACTATCTTGACCATGATGCGTGATGCAGTTACATCCGTCTGATCAAAGATTGTTGGGATGCAACACAAACCAACGGCTCTAATCGTTGACTTGTTAAGCGTCGACGCCTTAATGTTAGATAGGAAGTTCAACATGTTGACTTTTATATTCCTCTCTTCAAATGCGAGATTTCTCGCGTTGATGATGTATTTTTCCACTGCAGGAAAATATGTGATTGACGAGCACATTTTCAAGAAGAAACTCTTAGCTGTATCGGGATGTGAACCGCTCTGGTTTGAGGATAGTTTGGAAATATTCCTTGACCCATCCAGCCAGATTTACAAGGAAAGTGTTCCACTCAGTTTAATATACTCGATGGTTGATGGTATCATCGTGAATATATGGGATGATATGGAGCCTAAGACTCTGAAATCTCTTAAGGACCCAAATCTATTAGGTCAAATCGCTCGTGCAACGATTTATCCATTGCCCGTTGATCCATCAAAAACCAACCATCCAGTTTTGGATTGGTTAAACAAACAACAGCACGAGTCGGTCATTTACATCTCATTTGGAAGTGGGGACTCTCTCTCGGCTAAACATCTAACTGAGTTGGCTTGGGGACTCGAGTTGAGTCAGCAACGATTTGTTTGGGTGTCCATCTACCCATAGATGACTTTGCTAGCAGTGCATATATCTCGGTTAATAGTAGTGAAGTACGAGAAGGTACACTTGATTATCTACCGGAAGAATTCGTCAACCGGACTCTCTCGAGAGGATTCATGGTGTATTCATGGGCACCACAAGCCGAGATCCTTGCTCCTCCAGCCGTTAGTGGGTTTCTGACTCACTGGGGTTGGAATTCTATCTTTGAGAGTGTCACTAGTGGTGTTCCCATGATAACTTGGCTGCTTTTCGGGGAGCAGCTGGCGAATGCAATGCTGCTTAATGAGGAGCTTGGAGTAGCTATCAGGTCTAAAATATTACCATCAGAGAGAGTGATATCGAGAGTGGAGGTCGAGTCGTTAGTGAGAAGGGTTATGGTGGAGGAAGGTTGTGAGATGAGAAAGAAGGTGTAAAAGCTGATGAAAACGCCAAGTGCCGATGGTGGTTCGGTACATGAATCGCTGTCTAAAGTTGGCAGGAATGCCTACGTCGTTTGGAGCAGGTGAGAGGTATGTCACGTGATGCCTTGTAATGCATCCCTTTTTAAAATTATATGTTTGAATTACTTGTCATTTGAATGTTTTTGGAACATTGTATTATCATTTGAATGTTTTTGGAATATTGTATTTTAGTTTTTGGGTTTTGTCATATGTCACTTGTTATCACTAATAAGTCATTGATTGATTTGTAAGATTATTATTTTTAATTCTCTAAAGAATTCTTCCACTATCATAGAGATGTTTGTATATAATTTAGATATTTGAAGCTGATCTGCAACAACGATTTTAAATCTCTTGTACAAGAATATGACTAAATTTCGACCCACTCAATCGAGAGGTGTTTAATTTCATACACACACACACATATATATATATATATATATATATATATATATATATATATATATATATTTGTTTACATCGTTATTAATATATCTCTATAATATTATTTGAGAAGTCACTTTCTTAGGTGTCGCGTTCACGTTAACTCTCACGCTGGTTGATTACTATGATACCTCTATTGAATTAAAAATATATTTAAATATTATTATTTCCTTTTTAAAATCTTCCAAATAACAATATAAAACAAAAAGGAAATATTTCTAACATTTACAAAACTAAAAGTCACTTTCTTAGGTGTCGCGCTCACGTTAACTTTCATGCTGGTTGATTACTATGATACCCCTAATGAATTAAAAATATATTTAAATATTATTATTTCCTTTTTAAAATCTTCCAAATAACAATATAAAACAAAAAGGAAATATTTCTAAAATTTACAAAACTATTTAAAAACGAAAAATAAGTATATATATAATATGGTTTCATAAAAAAGGAAAGTTTACAAAATAGTAATATTTAACTTAAATATATTTTTAAATAACATAAATTATACTTTTTAAGTAATTATACTTTATATCTATATCTTCTTAGATGAAAAAAATATTTGTATATAATGTGTTTTCATAAAAAAATTTCATACAAATAATCTTGATATTAGAAAATTAAATATTTTTTCTTTAAAAAAATAATTTAAACAATAAAATATATATTTTCAAAGTAATTAGTTTTTGTATATATCTATCTATTTTATTAGATGATTACATAAAATAATTAAGTAACATAAACTGATATATGTTTAATAGACAAAAAAATTATAATTAGTATATTTATTTGATTATAATATCTTACTGTTAGAGCAAAAAATATAAATTATATTTTACTTATATAATATAATTTCTCAAAAACAATCACATTTTTACTGCATATTTTAAGAGATATTAAAAAAAAACTAAAAATAAATTTAATGGTAAACATCTTTTGATCAGATAACTACAATTCTTTTAAAATATCATAACACTATAATTTAACGAGGTAGATATATTATATTTTAATAGTTAAAATTATATGTTTTCTTAATAACTCTTTTGATGTTTAATTTTCTGATTTAATATAACCATAATCAAAATACTTAAGAAAATTATAATTCTTTATTTTAAAAATTATTTAAAATAAATTTCAGCTTACCATCCAATCAATCTAAGGCATAAATTATTTAAAATTTCTAAAATATTTAATTATTGTAAATATTGATATGTTTTCATAAGCTTCTGAAAATTTATTATTACTTATGTATGTAATTTAGAATCAGACACTTTAGTTTTTATTTTTTTTCGTTCTAAGCACAAAAAATATTAAAATACATATCTTTACTAAGATATACTTATATTTCTACGATAACAACCAACATAAATGTAAATAAAACAATTAATCAAAAATTAAGATATTTAGAATAAAAAAGATTATAGTTGAATTCGGAGAAATAGATAGAATCCAATATATATATATATATATATATATATAATATTATTTGAGAAGTCACTTTCTTAGGTGTCACGCTAAGGTTAACTCTCACGCTGGTTGATTACTATGATACCCCTAATGAATTAAAAATACAATCAAATGTTATTTCCTTTTTTAAAAATTTCCAAATAACAATATAAAAAAAGGAAAGTTCACAAAATAGTAATATTTAATTTAAATATATTTTAAATAACATAAAATATACCTTTGGAGTAATAAAACACTTTATATATATATATATATATATATATATATATATATATATATATATATCTTCTTAGATAAAAAACTGTATCTGTATATAATGTGATTTCATAAAAAAATTTCACACAAAAAATATTGTTATTAGAAAAAGAAATATTTTTTCTTTAAAAAAATAATTTTAAACAAAAAAATATATTTTTAAAATAATTATTTTTGTATATTTCTATCTATTTTATTAGATGATTATATAAAATAATCAACTAACATAAACTGATGATTAGTTTTATTTTTAGTATCTCTTACAATTACAGTAAAATTATAAATTCTATTTTACTTATATAGTATAATTTCTCAAAAACAATCACTTTTTACTGATTATTTTAAGAGATACAAATAATAAAACTAAAAATAACTTTAATAATAAACATCTTTTGATCAAGTAACTACAATTATTTTAAAATATCATAACGCTATATAATTTAACGAGGTAGATATATATATTTTAATAGTTAAAATTATATGTTTTAAGAATAAGGATTCTGATTTACTTAAGTATTTTGATTATGGTTATATTAAGTTTCACAAACATAAAAACGGAAAATAACTACAATTATTTTAAAATACCATAACACTATATAATTTAACAAGGTAGATATATTATATTTTAATAGTTAAAATTATCTGTTTTCTTAATAAATCTTTTGATTTTTAATTTTTTGTTTTTATGTTTGTGAAACTTAATATAACCATAGTCAAAATACTTAAGCAAATCAGAATCTTTATTTTTAAAATTATTTAAAATAAATTTCAGTTTACCATCCAATGAATCTAAAGCATAAATTTATTTAGAATTTATAAAATATTTTAATTATTGTAAATATTGATATGTGTTCAAAAGCTTTTAAAAATTCATTAGTTAATTATGTATGTAATTGAGAATCAGAAACTTAAGTTTTTATTTTTTTTCCTTCTAAGCACAAAAAAATCTTAAGTTATATATAATCTTACTAAATATACTTATATTTCTAAGATAACAACTAGCATAAATGCAAATAAGACAATTATTAAAAAAATAATATATTTAAAATATAAATGATTATAGTTGAATTCAGAGAAATAGATAGAATCCAATATATCTAAATGATAACTAAATCGACCGTAAAAACAATAAAAGAGACTAAATATAACACATCTAAAATTATATATAGAATTAAAGTAATATAATATTATAATATAAACTAGATTTCGACCCGCACAACCGTGCGGGTATTTTAATACGAAATATTTGAAATTATATAATAAAATTTATCAATATAAATAAAATTTGATTCTGTATATTATCCAAATTTATAATAATGTTTGTGTGACTTATAATATTATTAATATAAAATTTATAAATTTTTATTTTTGTAACAATTTTTATAACATTATTATGTAAAATTACTAATTTATATATTTTTTTTTATTTCTAAATTTGAAATATATGTAAAAAGTTGGACCTATATAATACATAAACAAAATTTTGGGATATTGTTAAACGTATTTTACATCATTTTATTTTTTTGTTTATAAATTAAAGGAATTAAAATTTTAATTATATTTTATAATAATTAAAATTTTAATCAAATAATTGTTGAAACTATATCTTCAAAAGATTCTAAAAGATTTTTAAAAGATTTTGTTAGAATTTTCTTAAAATTATTTATTTGTATTTCAAATAAAATTAAAGATGAGAAAAGATATTATATTGATGTTATGTAAAATTTTATAAATTTCTAAGGATTGTCCAAATTAAATTATCACACATGAATTGAGTCATGACTTCTCCTTTAATATAATAGATTAGACATACAAACTATAAATTAATTTAAAAATTAAAGTAAATATCAACCAATTATTATTGTATATTTATTTTATAAATATACATATCCGTGCATGAGCACGGGAAAATCACCTAGTATATATTATTTGAGAAGTCACTTTCTTAGGTGTCGCGCTCACGTTAACTCTCACGCTGGTTGATTACTATGATACCCCTATTGAATTAAAAATATATTTAAATATTATTATTTCCTTTTTAAAATCTTCCAAATAACAATATAAAACAAAAAGGAAATATTTCTAACATTTACAAAACTAGAAGTCACTTTCTTAGGTGTCGAGCTCACATTAACTCTCACGCTGGTTGATTACTATGATACCCCTAATGAATTAAAAATATATTTAAATATTATTATTTCCTTTTTAAAATCTTACAAATAACAATATAAAACAAAAAGGAAATATTTCTAAAATTTACAAAACTATTTAAAAACGAAAAATAAGTATATATATAATATGGTTTCATAAAAAAGAAAGTTTACAAAATAGTAATATTTAACTTAAATATTTTTAAATAACATAAATTATACTTTTTAAGTAATTATACTTTATATCTAT